AGAGGGAGGGAAGAAAGAAGGAAAAGAAAGAAAAGGAAGGAAGGAGATAGGGAGAAAGGAAGGAAGGACAAGAAAGGGAAGGGAGAGAGGGGGGAGGAGAAGGAGAGAAAGGGAGGGAATGAAGGAGGAGGGAAGGAAGGGCAAACTTGGACCTTGCAAATGCTTGGTACTCTTGCGTCTGTGACTTCACTTAACCCCACAAAACCCCTGCTTCCACCATTTTACGCTTGGGGAAACCGAGGCTCAGAGAAGGAAAACACATTCCCAGTATCACGCAGTGCTGGCTTCCAGCTGGGCAGTGCTAGGATCAAACCCTGGTCTCCAGGGAGGGTCAGCTGCAGTTCATCAGGGGAACAGCCTGGGCCACTGGGGCCGCGTTTCGCTGGAGAATCACTCCCTTCTCATCACAGCCGGCACCTCCCGACCTCGGCCACACGGGGGCAGCAGCGCCTCGGCCAGGGCCGGGCCTCGCGCTCAGGTTCCTTCCGTCCGTGCGGCCGGTTCCGAGCAGGAGGGGGCCGCGTCTGGCGCCTCCAGGGTCCGCGCGGGGCCCAGGCCTGGTGCTGCCGCTCCGCTGCCTTCGTGCATGGAGGACGGGCCGTATGTGAGCCCCAGACCTGTCTGCCTTGCTGTGCCATCCAGGTAAGTGCCTGCCCCTCTCGGGCCTGTTTCCCCATCCAGCGTAGAGTTGGTTTAGTTCAGGGCGGCAAACTAGCAGTGTGGAGCTTTGACAGCTTTTCTGGAGCGACGTGGCCAGGCCAGTGGACCACGTGGCCGCCTCCGCCAGCCCCCAGGGGCGACTCAGTGGACTTACGCCCCCCACCTACCCGACCAAGGCCGAAGTTTGTCAACCCACCTGGCCCTCTGGAGACACCAGGAAACAAAGCCAGCAGTCCCCCATGAGCCAGGCTGGGGAAACAGCCTTCCAGGAGGGGCGACCAAGGCCCCCACCCAGCCGACCACCTGCCCGCCCGCAGGAACACCATTACAGCCCAGGGCAGCCGTCCTCTGCGGGAGGGAAGGCTCAGCCTCGGGCATGGATGACAACAGATTACTTTTTTGGGGAGACTTCACTTTTTCTCCTCTGTAAAAATAAGTATAACCCAGAGTGGTCGTGAAGTTTGAGATTGTATATATACATATTACTTGTCACGGGTCCTAGCACAAACTAATAGTGTCTAACCACAACAGGGGACTGCTCCAATCCCACCATGAGAAGACGACGCCCCAGATCCCCAGACTGCCTCTCCCCACTTTCCCCTCCCCATCCAGAACCAGGCACCAAAGCGCTGGATAAACGCAGACTCTGGGATCACAGAGCAGGAGGGCCTCAGGACCCGAAGCATTCTCTGGTCTCTGGATCCATTCCCCTAAGACTAGCAACTTGCCCATCAGTAAAGTCATGGGAGGGATTCCCCTAGGTCAGTCTCAGTAGGTCACAAAGCCTGTGTCCCCACCCAGGCAGCCCAGGCTCCAGATAACACCAAGTGCCTCTGCCAGGCTGGGGTGGGGCGAATCATAAAAGGGGCCGTGGAGCCACTGGTGGGTTCCAAGTCTCCATTTCACAGAAGCAGTGGAAGCCTAACGGGCATCACTACCTCCGTGCAGATGAGACGGAGACTCCGGAAGCTGACGCGATTTGCCTGAGATCCACACAGAGTGAGACTCAGAGGCCGTATTGGTTCGTCCCAGAGAGAGCTGGGCTGTCTGTGGGAGCCCTGACCCACTCACGACAGCCCAGGGATGGCCCACAGCCTGTGGCGAACTCCGTTCATTCAAAGCCATTGCCCTTCCCTCTCTGTCCCCTGCCAGTGGGTGGCAGCCCCACACAGAGCCCCTCAAGCCTGAAATGTGGCATCTCCCAAAACGTCTCTGAGCCCCCTTAATTGCACACCTCCCACCCAACTCACCACCAGACCCTGTGGATTCTCTCCAGGCCCACCTTTTAGGGTGACAGAAATCGGCTTGAACCACATCTGTGTTGCGCCTTCTGATTGGGGTGCGCGCTCTTCAGATTGCCAGAGGCTTCACGGCTTGCTGCTGCATCCCCAGCTCTGGGGACCCGGGTCAGCTGCTGTCGTGTACTGGGCTTCGCTGATGCGCTTTTTACAGTGAGGAAATAGTTCTTTGCCCCATCAAGTGTGCAGGAAGGAAAACTGGGCAGAGAGGTCTGCCTATCTGAAGAAAAAAAAAATCAGAAATGATTTTCTTCATGGGAGATAAGGCAATTTCTAAGGAGCATGCAACCAAAATGCATTATGTGTAAAGTGTGTAATACCTAAATTTTTTTGTTTGTTTTGAGGTGGAGTCTCGCTCTGTCGCCCAGGCTGGAGTGCAATGGCGCGATCTCGGCTCACTGCAACCTCCGCCTCCCGGATTCAAGCGATTCTCCTGCCTTAGCCTCCCTAGTAGCTGGGATTACAGGAACCTGCCACTATGCCTGGCTAATTTTTGTATTTTTAGTAGAGACAGGGTTTCACCATGTTAGTCAGGCTGGTCTCGAGCTCTTGACCTCAGGTGATCTGCCCGCCTCGGCCTCCCAAAGTGCTGGGATTACAGGTGTGAGCCACGATACCTGGCCATATCTAATAGTTTTTATATTCAGCCCATGTTATACATTTTTGCCACCTGTCTGGCCACTGTAGGGTCTGGAGGTTGCAACCCCTGGGTTAGAGTAATCCCAGAACAGACTTACAGTGAGATGGGGGTGGGCGTGGGCAGAGGGAGAGGAAGAGTCAAGCCATTTAGATAACTTGGATTTACTCTCCAGTCCCCAAAAGTCAGGAAGGCGGCACATAGGTACTACCTCCTATCAGACTCATAATCATTGCCGCTTCCATGCACCTCCCTCTGTTTCCCACCCAATTCCCATAGACTGGGCGCATCCGCTGTCTCCTGTCCACAGTGTAAGCTGCAAAGCCTTGAGTTGTGTCTCAAGCCTCAGCCACCCAGGTCCTATTGAAATGATTATGTGGTTTTTTTTTTCTTTAAACTGTTAATGAAATGAATTGTATTAATTAATTTCCTAATAATAAATCAGCTTTGCATTCATAAGATAAACACAAGTTCATCATAATATACTGATTGATTTTTTTTTTTTTTTCGAGATGGAGTCTCGCTCTGTAGCCCAAGCTGGAGTGCAGTGGTGCAATCTCAGCTCACCACAACCTCCGCCTCCTGGGTTCAAGCAGTTCTCCTTCCTCGGCCTCCCAAGTATCTGGGATTACAGGCATCCAACACCACACCCTGCTAATTTTTTGTATTTTTAGTAGAGACAGGTTTTACCATGTTGCCTCAAGTGCTCTCGATGTCCTGAGCTCAGGCAATCCGCCTACCTCGGCCTCCCCAAGTGCCGTGACTATAGGTGTGAGCCACCGCACCTGGCCTATACTACATTTTTCAATTATTGTTGTCGCTGAATTCACTGTACTAATAATTTTCAAGAATTCTTGGAATCTATGTTCGTAGGTAAAATTGACGTGAAAGTTTTCTTTGTTGTACTGTCTTCATCTGATTTTCAAGCTTACGCTACCCGAATGAGGTAAACTGACAGGTGTTGACTGCGTTTCTCCACTGTGGAGTAGAAATCTGGGCAAGCTTAAACTTACTTGTTCTTTGAATGTTTAGCCAAATTGGGATTTGGTTCATCCCACTATCTTCCAGAGAGGGCTGGGCTGTTAATTTGGTGAATTCCAAATTCACATACCTGGAATTGTCATCTGGGACAAATGTTTTCTTTATAGGAAGATTTTAAACCACTAAATTAAGGACCTTTCAGGTTTTCTATGTTTTCTTGAGTCAATTTTAATAAATTGTATTTTTCTAGGAATTTTGCGATTTTGTTTAAGATGTTGCATGCATTGGCATATGGTCACTTACAGTAGTCTTGCTATATTTAATATTATCCATGGACTCTATGAAGCACCTAGAATTATGTCCCTTTTTTCATCCTTAATATTGCTTATCTGTGCTCTCTTTTACGTCTTAAACTTATAAGAGATTTGTATAATTTTTTTTAGCTCTTTCCAGAAATAATCCTTCGTCTTTGATTATCTTCCCTACTTGGGTTTGTTTTCTTTCTTTTTTTTTTTTTTTTTTTTTTTTTTTTTTTTTTTTTTTTTTTTGTGACATCTCACTCTGTTGCACAGGCTGGAGTGCAGTGGCATGATCTCAGCTCACTGCAGCCTCCCATATCTGGGTTCAAGCAGTTCTGTCTCAGCCTCCCAAATAGCTGGGACTATAGGAGCATGCCGCCATGCCCAGCTAATTTCTGTATTTTTTAGTAGAGATGGAGTTTTGCCATGTTGGCCAGGCAGGTCTTGAACTCCCGGTCTCAAATGATCCACCTGCCTCAGCCTCTCAAAGTGCTGGGATTACAGGCGTGAGCCACCATGCCCGGCCATTTACGTTTGTTTTCTACTTTGTTAACTTCCATTCTTAACATTTGATTCCTTTTACTGTCTTGGGGTTTATTCTGCTGTTCTTATTTTCATTTGAAGCATTTCTTTTTTCTCCTTTTTTTTTTTTTTNGCCCAGGCTGGAGTGCAGGGAGGCCATCTCAGCTCACTGCAGCCTCCACCTCCTGGGCTCAAGCACTCCTCCTGCCTCAGCCTCCAAAGTAGCTAGGACTACAGGTGTGCACCACCACACCGAGCTAATTGTCTTTTTTGTAGAGACAGGGTTTTGCAAGGTTGCCCAGGCTAGTCTCGAACTCCTGGGTTTAAGCAATCCACCCGCCTCGGCCTCTCAAAGTGCTGGGATGCAGGCGCGAGCCACCACACCCGAATCATGAAGCATTTCTTATTTGCCAATACCAGCATTGAAGATTATAAACTCTCCTCTAAATACTGCTTTGGTTGGATCTCACAAGTCTTGATGTGGAACATTTTTGTGAATGCTCAGTTCTAAGTATTTTTTAATTTTAGCTGTGATTTCATTTTTGGACTACGAGTTGTTTAGATGTACTGTTTTTCCTAAAGTACAAGCATTGACTCCTTGTCTTTTGGTTATTAACATCTGACTTGTTTAGATTGTGATCGGGGAATACAGTCTGTGTACACATTGTGGTGGAAGCTATGACTACTGCACAGCTTCCTCTTCTGGAACGAAGGAGTTAGTCTCCCAGCTTCTGGGAGAGCTGCTGGAGGATGGCCCCAGCTGTCTGCTCTCCTAGGAAGTTATGTGGGCTAAGGAGATTGCCTTGCCCGATCAAGACCATGCTTCCTTCAATGAACAGCCTGCATGCAATGGCTGCTCAGGGTGGGAGTGTAAAAGACTGGTTTGTTACCAACTCAAGACCCTTCTGAAGGACCACCCAGCTCCAGCACTCTCCACGGAGCTGGCAGAGGCCTCCGTGGCATGGCATGGCAGCACACCTCTTCCTCCGCGCACACCTGCCTCATCCCATCCATTCCACAGGTGCCGATCCCAGCAGTGTTCCCTAATAAAATCCCTGCACCCCAGTCTGCATCTCAGAGCCTGGCTCCAGGAGATCCAGCCTACCACCCCAATCTTTCACATGCATTGAGGTTAGTTATAATCTATATTTTGCAAACGTCCTATGCATGCTTGAAAAGAATGCGTTGGCCCCAATTTGGGGGTTTCACGTGCTACGTGTTGATTACATGAAACTTGTCATTGCGTTCCTCAAGTCTCTGGTTTTTTCACCACAATGGCCTAAAAATATCCCATCCTGAAGGTCGAGATGTCTATTCTTGTTCCTTCCATCTTTGCTTTATATTTTTTGCAGCCATGATCATATTGTATATAAACTGAGAACTGTTACGGCTTCCCAGTGAAATTGAGCCTTCTACCATTAACTAGTGACTCTTGTGCATAATAATGCTTTTCTCCCTTAAAGTCTACTTTTACCTTATGTTAGTATATCTGATGCAACTTTCTTTTAGTTAGTATTCACCTAGCATATTTTTTCTATGTATTTTTCTATACTTGGACTTTCAGCTGTTCTTGATTCCTATGTTTGAGGTATGGGATTATGTTCTCTTGTAAACAGAACATAATCACTATGTTTTTAAAAATCATTCTGGAGCAGGCGCAGTGGCTCACACCTGTAATGTCAGCTCTTTGGGAGGCTGAGGCAGGGGGGATCACCTGAGGTCAGAAGTTCAAGACCAGCCTGGCTAACATGGTGAAACCCTGTTTTTACTAAAAGTACAAAAAATTAGCTGGCCATGGTGGCAGGTGCCTGTAATTTCAGCTACTCAAGAGCCTGAGGCATAAAGATCACTTGAACCTGGGAGGTGGAGGTTGCAGCGAGCCCACATTGTGCCATTGCACTCCATCTTGGGCAATAAGAGTGAAACTCCGTCTCAAAAAAAAAAAAAAAAGGCTCACACCTGTAATCCCAACACTTTGGGAGGCCGAGGCAGTCAAATCACCTGAGGTAAGGAGTTTGAGACCAGCCTGATCAACATGGAGAAATCCTGTCTCTGCTAAAAAGACAAAATTAGCTGGGTGTGGTGGTGCATGCCTGTAATCTCAGCCACTCAGGAGGCTGAGGTAGGAGAATCACTTGAACCCGGGAGGCAGAGGTTGTAGTGAGCTGAGATCACGCCATTGCACTCCAGCCTGGTGACAGAGTGAGACTCTGTCTCAAAATAAATAAACAAATAATAGTTAAAATAAAATTCATTCTGACGGTCGTCTTTTAACTAAAGAATTTAGTCCTTTAACATGAATTACTGATAACATAAACTTAGATTGAGATTAATTTCCACAATGTAATTTCTATTCTGTTTTTCCTACCCTCAGCCCCCGTTCTTACCTTCCTTTGAATCATTTGAGATGTTTGTCTTCTTTCTCTTATCCTAATTTGTCTTTCTAATTATTTAGAAGTTGCAAGCTCTATGACTAGTTTTTAGTGCTTCCTCTGGCTATTTTAACACTGAGCACTTAACAAAGTCTAAACTTCATACATTTGCCTTCTCCCCAAATAATAGAAAGACATTCACAACTTGAATTTTGAGCATTTTCCCATATCAGATGGTATCGTCTGGTATTTTAGCATTGGCCCGTTTTTCCTGTCATAATTACACATTATTATTGTGGAGTCATAGACTCCATTATTATTGTGGAGTCATAGACTCCATGTTTGTTGAGTTTTCCACCAAATATTTCCAGCGTATTTGCCCATCATTCCTTCTTGTATGCCTGGCCTTTTCTCTGGAATAATTTCGATTCTGTCTGAACTACATTACATTTATATTTTTCCTTAGTGAAGATCTTTCAGAGGTAAAATCTCACCGTTTCTATTTCACCCTCAGTCTGGAAGGATAGTAGAAAATTCTAAATTGACCGTTGGTTTTTTCTCAGTGCATGAAAGATATAATTTCACTGTGTTTCCATTGATGATAGTGATACGTCAGCTATGAATTGAATTATTGATCCTTTAGAGATTTTTTTTTTTTTTTTGAGACAGAGTTTAGCTCTTGTTGCCCAGGCTGGAGTGCAATGGGGCCATCTCAGCTCACTGCAACCTCTGCCTCCCAGGTTCAAGTGATTCTCCTGCCTCAGCCTCCCCGGTGGCTGGGATTATAAGTGTCCGCCACCATACTTAGCTACTTTTGTAGTAGAGACGGTGTTTCACCATGTTGGGCCGGCTGGTCTCGAATTCGTGACCCTGTGTGATCTGCCCACCCCAGCCTCTCAAAGTTCTGGGATTACAGGTATGAGCCACTGCCCCTGGCCAGATGCTTTCAACATCTTCTCTTTTTTTCTAATGTTCCATAGTTTTCTTGGGATGTATGTAGATAGGAATTTCTTTTTATTTTTCTTGCACGGGATTCACTGGGCTTCCTGGATCTTAGATTTGTTATGTACAACGATTTCACAAAAGTATCAGCCACTACTTCTTCATGTATTGCCTATTCCCCTATTTGGTTAGCTCCTTCTAGAACTCTAAATACATTTACATTAGGCCCTGTCTGAATTTTTCTGGATAATTCCTTTGGTTCTACTAGCTTATTAAACCTCCCTTCGGCTGTGTCTAATCTGCTGCTCATTCTGTGTATTTCAAATTTCAAATGTTATTGTTTTCACTTCTGTTTTATTTGATTCTTTTTCAAATCT